TTTCTTGCCTCTTAAGGCTAATTTTAATTTTTCTTGGAATTATTATTAATTTATTGCTATTATATTTTTTTTTTCTGTGGTGCTACAGCCCCAATTTGGGCCTAGGCCTACCTCCATGAAACTCTCTGTTTCACTTCGGTTTACTAGATCTTACACATTTGGTAGGACTCCTTGGGCGAGTGATCAGCTCGTCGCAAGGCCTCTACCTGTAGAAAAACACAGAAAAACGCACACAAACATCCATGCCCTGAGTGGGATTTGAACCCACAATCCCGGCTTCCGAGCGAGCGAAGACAGTGCATGCCTTAGACCGCTCGGCTACCGTGACCGGCATTGTCATTATATAGACCGTCTTATTTTGTGTTTTGTGTATTTCTATGTACTCATGCCAACTTTGTAACTGGCCTCTGTGCTGTTATGCTTGCACACAAATAAACACAAATTGAATTATTATTATTAAACAAGATGGCATAACCATTGGAAATTTACATATTCAATTTTTTTCTCCTGTCAATGCTAACTTTATAGTTTTTCTTGTGTTATTAATTTACTGCTCATGTATAGAGTGTCATATTTTGTTCTTTAATTATTTTTGTGCATTTCTGTGTACTCATGCTAACTTTGTAATTGGCTACTGTGCTGTTAAGTTTGCATGTAAACAAACATGAATTGAATTGAGTTATTAATTACATTAATTGCATTAATGTGTCTTTGCTCCAGTGCTTACATTTAATTAGTCTTTGACTTTATGTTGTGTTTGTCCATATGCAATTACTTTTATCTACACTTTGCAGTGTCTGTAATTGGTCTCTAACAGAAATGAGTACCAGCAATCTCCATGGGGGGGGGGGCATTAGGCTGAAAACTTTCCTGCCATTGTGAGCTGACTGCCTAGAGAAAATGTGGGAGCCTTGATGTCTGACAACCCTAGGGGCCTCCACAGCCTGTTACAGGGATAGCTTTACCTATCATGTTCTTTCCTTTATAAGGAAAAACAGAACTACTATGGTTTAGTGATTACTTCCTTACAGTATCCACCAGATTTGAATATACAAACAATTTTACACAGTATCAGATTTTAATCTTTCACAATGGTGAAAAATCTTATTCTGGTCTCCTAAGTTATGACACTGTGTTGCTTGGTAGATGGTTACCAGAGGACATACTGCCCCTGGCTTCAACAGACCAGCAGAAAACTTTGGTCACCATGTCATAAGCCAGAAGACCATGAAGGAATTTTACATAAAAACTGATATTAGGCATAATGTTACAGTGCAGCATCCTGTTGCACTGCCTAGATCTGACATTGCGTTTTGCTTTGATGCCGTCTGTGTGCAATGTCAGTTAACATTCTCTCACAGTTTGTCGTCACTACATGTTTCAGCCTAACCGACCATCTTATGGTGTACAGGTTGTTGTGATCAAGGAACCTGCTACTCACTGTAATGCTGTTTCTGTTCTGTAGAGGCCTTGGATTGCATCTGGTTAAGTGGGTTAACCACCATTTTTTTTGTTTAGGTGTCCCTGAGCTGGGCATATTTGTTGTGCTGTGGTTGGCCATCAACACAACATATTCCTGCCCCAGCAAGAACATTCAAGACAGCCACAGCCAAACAAAACCATGAAGCAAACACCAGCAGCTGAAGGACACCTAAATAAAAAAACAGATGACTAACCCACATAACCGGATGCAATCCGAGGTCTCCACGTAACAGAAACAAAACAGCATTACAGTGAGCAGCAGATTCTGCAATCACAACAACCTGTACACCTGAAGATGGCTGGTTGGGCCGAAACATGTAGTGTCAATAAAGAAAAGCAAGTGAATAGTAACTGACATTTCACATAGACATCATCAAAGCAAAACACAAAGTCAGATGATATCATGCATACGTGTTACCCTCCTACATGCAAACATAGTAAAGCAACAGAAGCAGTTTGTTGGACAAATAAGTATCAGTCTGACGTGGTCAAACATATCAAACTGACATTTCTTCCTGTAATACTGTAATACTGTAATAGTATCTTCCTGTCATGTTTTGGTCTTGATATGCATAGATTTTCACTTCAGTCTTGACATGCACAGATTCTGGTGGCATAGCTGCAAGAGAAAAGGCTATCTGAACGAGCCATGCATGGATGATAGGACAGCATAATGGACGTCAGAGAAATGCTGTAACTTGCTCGTTATGACTGTATAGTAACAACTCCTTCCTCTTATGGCAGACGAGTCACTTGAGGTCTCGTGCTGGTGAGTCGCAGGCCTGAAACAATTACATGAATAGCATTAAAAAACAGGTTCTGATTTGCATGCGAATCTGTATGTACGGTTTCAAACTTGATGCATTTTTAATTTCAACAAAATGTAAAACTTCTACGTGGCTTGCAATGACACAAAAATGATGGTTACTTAACATTCCTGCATAATACTTAGCACTTTCCCCCCCTAAAAACATGTTCAGTTTTTGCCTCAAAATTGAAAAATAAAGTGCAATGGTAAATGTGCAAGACTTCTGCCAAGTTTNTCAAAATTCCCAGTCAATTATTTTATAATTCTGTCCTCTACTTTTCAGCTACTACAGGCAAAACACCATGATACCCATAGCCACATTTGTAGTTTTCACTGTTTCACAAACTCTGATGTCAGTACAGCTTTCATAAAATGCAGTTATCTAGATTAGATTATTAGCGGGGACCAAATACTGGTTCTAGAAGAACGGGAAACAAAATGGAACAAGAATATTCTAGCACAATAACAAACGTCAAGGACAATCAGCTCATAAAATGAAAATGCTGATCTTCCCCAGAACTTGAGTTATGTATCAGCTCCATCATTACAAAAACTGTGTTAACATTCTGCTCAACAATTAAGAAAATATGGCTACAAACCACTTAAAAGACTATGCAAGCCATGGAGAATTGATGGGAGTCAATACAAACTTTCATACTGCAAAATTATTTGCAAAGAAAGTAACTGAAACAGTGAAGCTTCATTACTTACAGTTCACTATGACCAAACTCATACTTACCAATACAGGAAAGTGTTTAACATACAATTTGTATCTACTTTTAAACTCTCATACGACGCTAAATTTCATGAGCCAAATACAAACTAATCTATACTGAAGTGCTGTTTCGTAAGTACCTGTAATATTAATACTTTATTCTAACAAATAACGAATCATATAAACCTGCATAACATTTCTCTCTAATCTCTAATATCTAACATCTCTCTAATATGATCTCATAATGGCATACTTCAAATTCTCGATTTCTAACACGAATATTAAGAGTAATCATTATTTTGCACATAAAATCAGCATCTATAACTCTGTCATCATATGATATATCTGTTTCATTCCACAGCATACTGTGAGTTTGTTAATTCTTTCGGTCCTAGTGACGGGCTTACATTTACGTTTATAACCACCTCAGAGCTGAAGCACAGACACGTTCAACCATAACCTAACTGCAGCTACACCTCTAATAAGAGTCTATATGATTCAAATTTATATATTCACAAATATGTACAATGAACAATATTTGTCAAGTACATTCGTCTCCTGCTTACTGAACAAATTTATATCAAATCATCAGAGCATACACAGAAAGCTTTGAATTCACAAGATCACAAATTCAACTAGCCTCTGCTGAAATGGCATGTGCATAATGGGTAGTGCTCCTAGTGGAAGCTGGGAGGACTATTGTGTAGTGAGTGAAAATACACTCATAATTTTTTTAATGACTTTATAATTTTCTTAGAAATTTTTGCCAGCTGAATGAAAATCCTGGATGCCTGGATACCAGACAAACAGGAATTTACTGTACTTGTAAATTTGTAACTCCAACTCAGATGGTATACCTACTTCTTTCTATGGATCTACAGTAATATTTTCATTCTGGTACACATTCACAATGTACACACCCCTTTTATTGTCAAACATCACGGAGAGCAGATATCAGCACACAGTTTTGGCATCTTAAGAAGAAAGAGTTCTGAATTGTTTCGAATTGTTTCATTTTTGGTCCGTTACACTATCAATCACTTGAGGGCAGTTTCGGATGAAATGTGAGAATTGATAGTGCATTCAACAATCCTAGCAAGTATTGTGCTTTTACACGTCGACATATTGTAGCAGCGTCCACGCAGCAAACATAACTGTGTACATCTTAAACAACGACAGTGTTTTCATGATTGTACTATGTGCCTCTGATGATGGTTGTGTTAAACCGAAACATGTAAGGCAGAAGTGATAAAGAAGTGACCTACAAATTGTTACACTCGACGGACTTTCTATTGACTTTAAGAAAGAGTTCTTTACAGTTTCTCAAAACAAATTGGCACAGGCAAGATGGTAAAGCCATAAAATAATGTCCTATCTTGAAATTAAGATCTCTGTGTGAAAATACACTCATGATTTTTTTAATGACTTTATAATTTTCTTAGAAATTTTTGCCAGCTGAATGAAAATCCTGGATGCCTGGATACCAGACAAACAGGAATTTACTGTACTTGTAAATTTGTAACTCCAACTCAGATGGTATACCTACTTCTTTCTATGGATCTACAGTAATATTTTCATTCTGGTACACATTCACAATGTACACACCCCTTTTATTGTCAAACATCACGGAGAGCAGATATCAGCACACAGTTTTGGCATCTTAAGAAGAAAGAGTTCTGAATTGTTTCGAATTGTTTCATTTTTGGTCCGTTACACTATCAATCACTTGAGGGCAGTTTCGGATGAAATGTGAGAATTGATAGTGCATTCAACAATCCTAGCAAGTATTGTGCTTTTACACGTCGACATATTGTAGCAGCGTCCACGCAGCAAACATAACTGTGTACATCTTAAACAACGACAGTGTTTTCATGATTGTACTATGTGCCTCTGATGATGGTTGTGTTAAACCGAAACATGTAAGGCAGAAGTGATAAAGAAGTGACCTACAAATTGTTACACTCGACGGACTTTCTATTGACTTTAAGAAAGAGTTCTTTACAGTTTCTCATAACAAATTGGCACAGGCAAGATGGTAAAGCCATAAAATAATGTCCTATCTTGAAATTAAGATCTCTGTGTCACAGATGGCTCATCTTCACGGCAATGTGGGATCCAAGAATCTTCTAAATGCTGTTATCTTCTGCTATCTGGCATTAGTCTTCTCTTGATGAGGTTCCAAATAAATTGGAGTGACATTCAATGGTTTGAATTTTCTGAAACAAATAATATTCCCTGTATTAACAAATCACATGTAACTGATAAAAATAACTTGTTCATAACTTCACTGTTACAACCCCTGAACATAAAATATCAGAGTCAGAAACAGGTATGGACGTAGTCCTAAAAGTAAAGAGCTGCAGCGCTCTGGCACACAGCTCCAAATTGAAATAAATGGGCAGGAATCTTGATTTGAGGCAGTTCTCGTCATTAACATAATGCTAACTTTGCTTTTAATTGCAGAAACCTTTAAAACACTGATCATGAAAACTGTGTCTTTTAAAGAGGCTAAGAATTTTATCTCAGGCATTGAGATCAAAAATGAACTAATGTAAAAGGGTTTTTACATTTAAAGTCTGTAAAATCTACAATAAAAATACTTTTGAAATGATCCTTTCAAGAATTTTCATGAATACAGAACTGTATTTTTGAAGCAAAATTGTAATCTGTGAAGAATGAATGCAAGAAGCATAGATTTTAATAACAAGTATTGAAGTTTGACAACACTGTCCATAATAGAAGTGTTAGGGCAGTGCCCCAGCACCCAAACAGCAACAGGGAACCATCCTGGACCACCCTGAATTAACTGCAAACCTAAAAACAAGGTATAATTTTGGAACCAACTTATATCAAACTATGCAGTCTGAGATGCATGGGACAGTGAATACTGCAGTCTTCTGGTGTGACGGCCTGCAGCTTGTTAAATACCAATATGACAGAAGAACCTGCCGCCTGTCATCACCAACTGCCCAAAAAACAGAGACATTAAAGTTCATTTAAAGGGATGGTAAACAGTGTCCAAATCATCTCTGACCATACATCATACCTTGGGTAGGTAATCTTACGAAGAAAATTAGATCTCCAATAACAGGATTGAGGTTCCAACTGTGTGTTGAAAAAAAAAACTAGTTAACTTCTGATGACAATGTAACAATCTACATTAGGTTATGATGATGATGGACCCTCAAAAGGATTGATCATTTCACTGAGACTTGTATTAGCACTACAGTATTCATATTTGTGTTTCTAGAAGTCTTACTTATGAATACTCTGAGTTTGGCACTCCAATGACAAGCATTTCACTGCCCTTCATGTGCAGTCTCCACATACTCTTGTGATAACCTCGAACATCAGGGTCCAGGATCTTGAAGCACTGAAACAATTTGCAGAATAATTTTATGCAAGTACTCTATGAAGCCCAATGAAACATCAACATAGGAATTTATATGACTGAATACAGAGCAAAATCTCACTCAAAGAAACTTCTACGCACGCTCACTATGTTCTGCTTTGTTGCAAATACCTAATTTCAATAACTTGAATGTACTACAAATATACAGCACATATGTAATGGGGTACTAAAAATGGTAGGATAAGTGAGCACTATGAGGTGCTGCTCTCTAGAGGAACGTTATGACCATTATTCATCAGAGGAGGTAGGGTGAAGAGGAGGAGGTTGGTGGAAGTAGAGGAAAGAAGAGGTATGAAGAAGTGGCATGAGGAAGAGCATGATGTGGTAGAAGTCAGAAGGAGAATGGGAATGCCAGAAGTGAATGAGGAGGAAATACGGGGTGGAGGAGGTAGGGTGACATGGAGGAAGAGGGTGGAAAAGGAAGTAGGGGGAGGAGGACGTGTTTGGTGGCAGAAGGGAGAGAGAGGAGGGTTAGCTCTCTCTACCAGCAGCACAGCATGTCTGAACCATTACCTTGGCTACTTGCAGCCACGTTACAAAGTCTTTTGGTCCTTCCATTTTGATGAACATTATTATGATTTCACCCTGAAACAAAGAAGAAAATATACAGACACATACATAACTTACACCTTATTAAATATTCAATTGGCCTTAAAATAATGAAAATGTTGTAATGAGAAACAGATGCATGTATTTGTACGGTTTGAGGTTTTCCACGGCAATGAAAATTCATTCTGTGATGTCTGTGTTACACCACATTGTAATCTGGAAGGCTGGTCCCAGTGTATCGGCGAAACATGCTACTTTCATCCTCAGGGTTGAATATTCAAGATGAACCCTCTTCCTCCAAATTATTGGTAACCACCAACATTACAAGAAAACACAGCGTCATAATACAGACATCACCATGTGAGCAAATGTATTTCATAACTGGTGAAAATATCAGAGTATGGGTCATTGTAGTTGAACGATTTTTAAAATAAATAAAACACAACAATGATTAAATATATTAGAAAAAACACAAAATTGATACAGTAAATATATTCACCTTTTTGCCTGGTATGAAGTTCTCCTCACATGGTGATTTGCTGTGATCCAAAACAAGACCTCTCTTTATCATGTCCACAATTAACTCTCATAGTTGTTCTTGTTTATGCTGTAAATACATTAACTCTTTGACTGGTGCGGGCGTGTTTTAACGCCCGGATGATGCCAGCCGTTCCCTGGCGTTGGCGTGTTTTAACGCTTTGACAATCTCTTCCCTTCTTTGTTCTCTTGGCACTCATCAACCAAAGACATATATATATATGATAGTTTTTGTGCATGTTTGTAAAGAACCCTTGTAAACTTTGTGGGGGTCTATATTACTGTCAGAACCCTCTGAGAAGGAAAAGGTCAGAAAATATTTCACATTCATTCAGTTTCACCATGGCTTCTTGCAGCAAGTGTCTTCGTGTTCCTACAGACCAGCTGGAAAATGTTGTGAACGAGATTTGTTCTGATGATGATAGTGGCGATGAAATAATGATTCCTGAATTGGATGAAGTTGATAGTAACAATAATACAGTGATAGACAATGATCCACAAGACAGTAATCATGAACATTTACCTACCACGAGTGCAGTGCCTGACACGCCCATCTCATGAACGTACGGAGACATTG